GCCCGTACGTGCCTACTGCAGTGACGCACTTGTCCTTCGCCCTCCTTGTCCGCGCCTCCTTCCACGGTCCCTGCTGGCCGAACTCTGGCGTCTGGGCGCGTGTGGCCCGATTGTGAGAAGATGGTCAGTTCTCGGCCCCTCCACAGACAGTGGGTTGCAAAGGGGTGTGGCGTGGTAGTCGTACGAGGGAGATGATGCCGACGCTGCGCTTCGAGGGCAACGGGTCCTCCGTCGCGCCGAACCACACCTGGATCTTGTTGCCCACGAACGACAACTTGTGCCAATTCAGTCCCACTGGTCCACCTGCAATGACGCGGCGCACGCCACACACGACGACACAGAACATCAGTAAATGCTACGATGTAAGGGGGGGGGGGAGAGAAGGGCCGCACCTTTGATGCGCGGGTGGTGCCAGGTGAGCGCGTCGGTGTTGAAGATCGCGATGTCGGTGCCGCGCTGTCGCGCCTCCACAGGGTACGGTACGTCTCCGCTCTCTTGTTGGGGGCGCTAACCCATAGCAACGGAAAGGCCGCGGGCGTCAACAAAACACCCATACGTGCGCCATGAGTGTGTCTTGTGCGCGTGTGCGCGTGTGGCGGTGGTGAGGTGAGCACCTGGCCGGAGTAGTAGATGATGTGGTTGCCCACCACCACGCCGTCATGGCTCTCCCGCCGTTCCGGCTGCAGCTCGCCCTTGATAGCCAGCTTCTCAATTACAAGCGACTCTGCGAAACCCATTTGTCATCAAGTCGTGTGCGTGTGCGTGTCGTATGTACCGGTGTCATCAAGGTGTGTGCGTGTGCGTGTGCGTGTGCGTGTGCGTGTGCGTGTGCGTGTGCGTGTGCGTGTCGTCTGTACCAGTGTCGAGTCGATAGATGTCGTGGTAGATGTGCAGCTGAGCGTCATCGCCGCCGTAGATGAAGATGTACTTGCCCACCAGCGATGCAGTGTGGCAGCCCAAGGGCGGCGGAATGTCGCCCTTCATCTCTCCAATGCTCCACTGCTTGGTTTCTGTGTGTGCGTGAGACACAGAACGATGACACACACCGCACGCGTGGGAGAAGCGGGAGGCACCCGTGTCAAAAATGTGGAGGTCGTTGAAGTTGGCGTCGTGCGTCCAGCCGCCGAATACGAACAACCGTTTGCCGACGGCCGTCACTGATTGGGTCCACCTGCTCACACACACGCACAGCGAAAAGGGCCAGCCCTTTGGTAAGCGCTCGGGTCTCAGGGCCAATAGGTGCTTGCCGTAGCGTCGTGTGAAATGAGAGTTGCAAGGCGACTGACCTGGCCTGAGGCGGATCGCCGGTGGCTTCCACCTCCTTCCATCTGTGCGTGACTGCACGTACGACGGTCAGAATGCACGCGCACCCTATGCGGGGTGGTGATGGTGGTGACTGTGGTTGGGCGCGTACCGGTGTCGAATACCCAGAGTTCGTTGAACAGCGCACCCCAGTCTCCGCTGCCGCCGAAGACATAGAGGTACCGGTCCTCGGTGACTGTAAGCCCCTCCCCCAATGCGAGGATGAGTCTTTGATGACGTGTCACCGCCGCACACGACTCAACACGCCACGCGCCACACGCCACGCGCCACACGCCACGCGCCACGCGCCACACGCCACACGCCACACGCCACACCTGCAGCGTTGGAGTAGATCCGGCCGGCTGGCCACTCGTCGGCGGTGCTGTACTGCGCCCGGGGGCGCTGCATCACGATGCCCCTCAGCTTCTTGCCCTGTCGCGAGAGACATGGCGTGAGTGCGCACACGCCGTGGTGCGTGTCGTGTCGTGTGCAGTGGTGAGGCAGAGTCCGGCGGGGCCGACCTTGGAGGCGGAGTAGACCCAGAGGTCGCTGCTGGCCACCTGGCCCATGCGCCCGCCAAACAGGTACACGTAGTCGTCGAGCACGGCCATCGCGCACTGGTCCGTCTGCGTGAGACGAAGTGGGTCCTCGACCAGCTTCCACGACATAGACACTGCGCACGATACACACCACACACGACACACGCACGCACGCACGCATACGACACGACACGACACGACACGACATACACGCACACGACACGACACGACACACACACGACACACTGGTGTGAGTGCGGTTCTAAGGTTCTGCAGGAGGGCCGGCCGGCCAGCGGTACCCTGGTGGTCCCAGTACTGGTCGAAGCGATGCTTGAAAATGTAGAGGCCACGCCACCCGCCCGGCCCGCCCAGCTGGGCCGCCCACGCCTCGTCCTTGGGCAGCACCTGCCATCGCTACACAACCAAAATTAAAGAATATTTATTTAATAAGAATAAAAGATCTGAGTATTTTATTTTATTTTATATTAGTTTTGCAGGGGCAAGGTGCACAAAAATAAAATAATTGTATATTGAATTATTGGGGGGGGGCGCACGGAGGTGACGAGGGGGCGCCAGAGGAGGTCGTCGTCGGCCACGCGTAGCCAGTCCTGGCACACCTGACGCGAGAGCACCAGGCCGTCCGCCGAAAGCCAGCTCAGCACGCCCACCAGCACCTCGTCCGCAAGCTGCACCACCGACGCCATGGCCTCTTCTTCTCTGCTTCTCTT